TCCTATTCCCTTTTCATTTCATTTCATTTCATTTCATTTCCCTTCCTCATCTACCAGTATTCTATTTCATTTCTCTTCTTTTATCATCATGGAAAGATTTTATCGATTAAAATTTTTTCCTCCGTAAACTTTCAGTATGAGTGGGTGTAGGAATAAAGTTGACACGTTATTCATTCTTTTGATTTGAGTTATGAATTGATTGTACTGAAATTGTTGAGAATTTATTCGGTTGAAATTAATTTGCTTACCTGAATGATATTTTTAGTTTTAAGATATGAATATGTTTTCATGTACTTTTTTCATTATAAGCTTTTCATTTTTTAAATGCAATGCATTACTTTACTTATTTACTTACTTTTATCATATTGAAGTGAGAACTGACGGAATCAAACAGTAGAATCCCAGAAAATCGAAACGAGCCTATCCAGATTAAATGTCCTAGTTGTAATGTAAGTTCAATTATATTGCTATTTTCATGTGATTAAGTTTTAAGTTAAATTCAAAATTTTCCAATCAATAAAATTTGACAAATTTGACAGTTAATTTCAATGAAAAGAAAAAAAAAAAAACTGGAAGAACAAAAAATGTTTGTACTTTTATGATTTAATTATTTGTACTATTATTAAAATATTTAGTCCATTACAATGAAATGAATGAAATTAGCGCTTGAAATATTCAAATATCTAAAGAATTGTAATTTGTTGAGTTAATTTTAGGCTCAAATCATAACGGATGTACGAAATCGATGGCATTGTTTAAGCTGTATTTCTCGACGTTCAATTCATTTTTGTCCTGCATGCGGCAATGTCATCAGTAAACAGTATCTAACAGAAGTCATAAAGAAGAATTCCACATCATCGTCCACTTGAAAATTTCAATTTAATGCTACTAAATGAAAGGAACAATCAAACTTTTATATTAATACTTTGAAATATGTCAAATATTGCTTTAAAATTTTCCATTTAAATTATTCATTTTCATAATTTTTGACATTTTTGATTTCTAGATATTATTTATTTTTTTATAACTTATCTATAAGGAAAAATATTTTTTCAATTGAATAAAAAATTTTAGTGATTCAATTGTTATGAGAACAGTTTAGATTTCTATAATTGACATTTCTGTAGAATAATACCAGAATTATACTACTAACTTTCCTGATTTTAATAAAAATTATTTCTCAAAATTATAAATACTTAAATCTATGCTTCATCCTGGTTTCCGTTACGATAGTAATTTTGCATGCTTTTTTGTTGATAAGTGTGAAATGATGATGTATTTTATACATGTATCTAAATGAAATTTGAAATTGTACTTATAGTTTTGATGAATTTCACACTAAAAACCTTTTTATTTTATTATTCATTTTTGTTTTCATTTATTGCTTTTATTTTATTTGAGATTGAGAAGAAGCGCTTTTTGAAATTGTTTCATTCAATAAAGCATATATCATAAATTAAATTGTCTTTTAGCTCTGAATGATATAATTTCCATTGTCGCTAATCCTTTTCTTTCTATCGCATTTCATTTCATTTTATTTTATTCAAACTTCAAAAAAAAAAAAAAAGTTATTCTTTTCTAACACATTTATATCAACAAAGTACGAAACATTTTCAATCGTTTCATTTGTTAATTTGAAAAAATTAGAGGCACATATATGCTTATTTACTTTAATGATTATTTAAATATCTAATCTTTTGCTTTTCCTAACAATTCCGTAATCTAATTAAAACACAATATTGCTTTTCGGAAGTTTTGCTAATTTTATATTTATTTTCATAGATAATTTATTAATCATTCAGTTTTTCTTCCATTAATAAAATAATTTCTGAGAAAAAAAAAACTAATATTATACCATAATTGATAATATTTATTGAATACTTTTTCAGAAATAATTTTTATTATTATTTTTTTTTTTATGGAGCAAATATTTCTGGCAACTAACACACTGTTGAATGGTCGAATTTGCGCCCATGAAAATGAAATGATATTGGCTATTTCATTTCCAATTATTCTTTCAGTCATTCTTTCTCATCACACACACACTCACACACACACACACACACACTCACACACACACACACACACACACACACACACACGTACATTCACAGACAGACACGCACACGTTTTTCTAACATTTCAATGCGATTCAATGATTTGTCACACGGATCGATGATTCATATTAATCAAATTCATCCTATTTTCAAGTTTTAATTGCTAATGCTATTTTGATGTTTATCCTTATTATTATTTCAAAATTTTTAGCATTAATATTCAGTCAAAAAAATTTATAAATTTAATTTTAAAACACTTTTTTCTTTTTTTTTTTTTTTTTTTTTTTTCAATGTATCATTTCTTCTTCAACTGAGAGAAATCTGTCAAATAAAATTTAAAGAAATTCCTCTTAACTATTTTCTATTTTTGGTAGTAAGTGAAATTGACACCATTAAGTATTTTTTTTTTTTTAATTTAAACTTATTATCACATTTAAACATTAAACACTTCTATTATTAATAAATTTCTCATATTTAGATGTGGTAAAAAAGTGTATGCTAATTATTTTAGGCCAGAATTATTTTAGGCCAAAATTATCCTAGGCCAGAATTTCTTTTGTCTGATTTATGTATGTGTGTATGGTGTAGAAAATTTTAATTTTTGGTTATAAAAATATAATTATTTTGAATGTATGAATTGTTCTCATAAAATATCACAAGTAGCTAAAATAATTTTTGATATGATTACATTATTTTATGCTAACACTTTCACATTTTCAATTTAGACTTTCAAATTTAATTGTTCTGTCGATTTTACTTTTTTTTTTTTAATATAAATGCTTTTAAAAAATTTCCATCATTTATTAAATAGAATAGATGATTATTTCATAAATAAAAGAATTATGATAAAAATTGAATGAAACATTCTATTGTGGCTTCTTTTTTTTTTTAATGAAAAAGTAAAGTTATTAATTCTATAACAGTTTTGTTTTGATTGATTCATATTAAACAAAATGAAATAAGTAAAAATTTTCAATTTATTTATAGCTTGCAGCTTGTTTATAAAATATGTTTGTGTAAGAATTAAATCTGTTCGTTTCTTTCCATAAATTAGATTTTAAATGTCACATAAATGCCTTCAGATTTTCTCTTTCATTTTAGAGTAATTTCGAATATGTGTTTGCATTTTTTTTTTTTTTTGTCAACCTAAACTTAAAACTTTTAGGATACGCTTTTATCTGTTCAAAATTGGACAAATTATTTTAATTTAAAATCTTAATCATTTAATAGGAATAAATAAATTGAAGAACACTAAGTTGATTGTATTGTGCATTGGTTAACTTTTATATTAAAATTCAATGACTTCGCTAAAATTTATGTTTACATAAAATTTTTCTCTCACTACAGTTAATTCTTAAAATATGAAAATAGCCAATGTGGAATGCCGAAGAATTCTTGAAAGACTATTTATTCCCATTGATTGTCCATTGTCATCTTTGTGGTCATTTTCGCTTTTGAGTATGGATTTTGTCCCATTTCTATTCAATCTTCACTCATCCTTTTATTTATTACTTTTCTAGGCTTCTTTCTACTTATTGCCTCACTCATACATTGGTATTTTAAGAAATACAAAGACGCAAAAAATATTGTTTCAAATTATTTCAGAGTTAAATTCAAACTTTTTTAAGCCATTTCAAATAATTTGTTAGTCTGTCATTCAACATAAAACTAATAATTGTAACATAGTTCATCGTTTCAATTCAAAATTGCTATTATTTTTACTTTCTTTGTCCTTTTTTCTTGATTTCCTCATCTTTGGCTGTGCAAAAAAAAAAAAAAAAAAAGGAAAAACTTTGACGAATCTCATTAACATTATAACCTTCGAAAGTTTCTTCTCTATTCAAAATTTAAAAAAAAAATTTTTTTAAAAGTATACAATTGATTAGACTTGGCTAAAGTTTTTTGTCTCTTTCATTGGATCTTTTTAAATTTCTGTCTTGAGCATTTTTTTTTTCTGTCAACTAAGTCACTTTTCAATGCTTTTTTTGTATGAAAATTATTTTTTTAAATCAAATTTTATCAAGTTGAATTTTAATTAAAATATTAGAATAGAATTAATAGAATAAATATTGAATAAGTTTTGATTTCAATTTGCTTATTACAGAAATGAGCATGAGAATTAGTGAATTATCAATGAAACATTGCTTTTCGTATTTGTGAAATAAATTTGATTTAATATTTAAAATTATTTTCTCTTTTCATAACAATCTATTTTTACACTCTATCATATAGCTAAATTTGATATTTATAGCTAACACATATTTTTGAAACAATAAAAATCCATTACGGATGAAAGCTTTTACAAGTAAAATTTATCTTACCATAATTTTAAATAATTATTTAGCTTGAAAAATTGTCAATTAAACATGAAGAAATGTGCAATAAACATTGTTTCTAATTAACACTTAAATTTAAAAAATTTAATTGAATTAAGATTTTCTTTGTAAGCTAAAAAAAAAAAAAAAAGAAAAAAAAATTACTAAAAGACGCAATTGTACATAAACCATCAAATAAAAAGCATAAACATATGTGAAAATTATTTTGTCTATTTATGTTGACAAAAAAAAAAAAAAATTAGTTTTTGTGACAAGTATTAGTTATTGTAAATTAATCCATAAAATTTATTCTAATTAGGTAATACTTTAATAGAGGAAAAGAAAGAAAATATTAGAGCTAAAATGTGATAGAAATTAGGAAAAAATAATCGTCGGCGATTCTTTTCTTTTTTTTTTTTTCTCTCTTTAATGATAATCAAAATGTGTTGCCCATATGTTGTAGTATGAATGACAAATATTATTCGTTCATTTTTAACATATCAAAATTTTTGTATTCATTCTTAGCTTATACTTTTTCAAATTAAAATTTGATTGAAAAAAAAAATGTTAAAAGATGAAAAAAAAAAAGAAAAAAAAATGAATGACCTTTTGCAGCGGTGAAGAACGAATGGATGTAATAAATGAGTACAATCTTCATATTTGTTATCAATTTCATGGAAACTATTTCAAGGTAATCAATTCTTATTTACCTTAGAAGAGAGGAAATTATTATTGAAGGACATAAATAATTTGACACATTCAATTTCATTCATTCTTTTTGCAAATTACAAAAATGAATTTTTCATTTTTCAAATTTATCATTTTTTTTTCTTTTCATCTTATAGGTATGATAAGTTATTACATTTTTAGAAATTTAGCATTAGTATTTGATTAAATAAGTATTTAATTACTGGACAGGAAAGTGAAGGATAATTTAAAAAAGTTATTCATATTACTATCAGAGATGTAATATTATCAGAGAGTTAAAGATTGACAATTTTATTATGAATAGATAAATGAAAAAGAAATTAACTTAACATTTTAATATAAGAAATAAAATAAAGTAATGGAGTAAATTTCTGAGAAAATCAACTTTTCTTATTTTCCATTTTTTTTTTTTTTTTTTTTTTTTTAACTTTTTATTACAGAAATGATTGAAAGCAAATAGCAGTGTACAATTAATCAATATACTAAAAGTAATTTTTTAAAAGCTCTCGAAAATTTTCTTCAAAATTTTAACTAATTAATTTTTAGAAAACATTCAATAAATTGTATTGCTGTAAATGGACAGCAATAAAAGGATGTTTAAGTGATGATGATCAGATTGCCAGTAGTTCAACATCTGGAAGCACTGAAATTGTGGAGACAATCGGTCGACAAGGTGAATTAATCGAATTTGTCAAACCAATACCAATCATTTACAACTACGACGATGACATTACCATTCGTTTTGAACTGTTAGCAGCTTCCTTATTTAATTCATAAAATTTTCATTTCAAAAAATTTTATTAAATAATGATTACAGATAAAAGGCAATAACATTCCGTACTCCCAGTTAACTTCCTAACGTATATTTTAGAATGATTTCATTACTAAAAATACTAAAATTAAGTTTCTCACATATTTTTAATTCGCTTCTTACATTCATTTTATCAGTTTGGCTTAATGTTAAAATTAATTTATTGTTTGATTATCTTTAATATCGCATCAAAATTCTTTTTTTATAATCGAAAAATTAGGTTTTTTGAAACTTTGTTAAATTTAGGATTTTTCTTATATGATAATAAATTTTCCTAAATTCATATTAAATTACATTGAAAATACAATAATTTTATTTTGCATATCATTTACTTTTCTTCATTTATTCCTTATTACTTAATTGAAAAGCTCTGATTATTTATTTTATTTATTTTTTGAAATAAAAAATGATGAAATTATGATTTGAAGTGTTCTGCTAAATTATCGTCACTTTTGTAGTTTCATAGTATCATTCACTTAATTCTAAGTCTGAATTTGATTTCTCAAATAATAATTATAAATATGGAGATTTTAAAAATGAAATTCAAATTTACAAAATTTTTAGAAGTCATTTTTTTTTTCACAATAATTCTTGCATCCTATGTTTTAAATTGAAAAAGAAAATCTTAATTGACACTTTTCTACGCTTATCCATAATATATCAGTTTGTAATCATTTTAAAAAATAAGTAAATTAACTTTCTGCCAAATGCTAAATTATAAATTCAAGAAGTATTTTCTTCAGTTTACTCATTAAAATGTCTATACTCATTTGTTTTTTCTCATTAATCCGTTTCATATGAACACATAACAATACCGCGGTATTATACCAGTGGTTTTGTTACTACTCTCGAGATTTTTGAGATATACTGAAAATTGTGTTTACTTGACAGCAAATTATAGAACTCTTCGAATTGCAAAGTTATTTTTATAAGATGAAAAGAATTTAGGAATAACATTATCAACGTGAACGTTTCACACGTGATCACGTCACATTGCTTTCTTCTTTTTGCAGATTCTCCGCTGATAAATCAGTGTCATCATCGGTTTGCTCAGATTCTAGGCGAAATTCCGATACAATTGTACGTTTTCGTAGTTCCAATGAGATTTTATTTTGGGATTTTGTTGATTTGTTGGAGTGTGAGTTGAATGCAGTGATACATCGAGGACGATTATCAGAAGAGGAAGATGAAAGAATTCGGGAAGGATCAGCCGGAAAATTTACCGGTATTACGTTTTTATTGTTTCTTCTTAAATCATTAATTTGCTTTTCTGATATTTATTCTGTCTATTTGTTTCTCCGGAAAACGAATATCTTCAATTAAACCAATCAATAATTCTTCAATTTATACTGCTTTTTTCAGCTTTTTTTTGAAAATATTTAGTGATATCGGAACGAGTTCCTATCGGTCGTTTCTTTTCTGAAAAGCAAATCCGTATGGAAATTTCTATTTCACAGTTGGAGAAGCGGGGTAAAATGAAATATACTGACCTAGAAACCTACCTTGCAATTTACAGGTGAGTAATTTTATAAAACAGTTTTTTTAATCTTTGGTTATAATTGGTTACTAAAATGGAGGCCTAGATTTTATGATTTATTATAGTTTTTTGAATTAACTTTCAATGACTTTTTCAATTTCATATTTTTTTCTTTTCATTTTATTCAATTTGGATAAATACCTTTTTATTTTTCATCTGAATCATAATTTTTATGAACCAACCAAAGTTACATTGTTGTTCAAAACGAACTCGTTGCTCATCTATTCTAAACTTTCCATTGAATCATAAATAAAAAGTAAAAAAAAAAAAAAAAAAAAAAATAATTGAAATAAACTTGTCTTTTTTAAACCATTTAAAATTACGGTTTTCTTTCCGGTTAAATAACCTTTTTATATTGAAAGTAATCTACTTATATAGTTTAGAAAAAGTTTAAAAGACGACTATATTATCATTTATCGATCTCCAAAAACGGTGGAAATCACTTCAACAAGTCTGCATAAATTTCCGGAAATTGTTATTCCGTATGATAGATTACTTGGTGGAATTGAGGATAGGTGAGTAATCTGTTTTTTTTTTTTTCTTTCTCTCTCTCTCTCTCTCTTTCTCGTTCTTTTATAATTTGTTTACATTTAGTATTTACTTTTTATGTAAAATACATAATTATTTAACAATTGCATAAAAATATTATTTTTCGTTTTCAGAATTTATTTGTTGTTCTCTCAATTCAATTATAATTTCAAAAGGTGACAAGTATGACTGCATGTTGATGCAACTAAATTATATTAGTTTGCCCGAATAGAAATTCTTTTTTCCGAACGCTTACATTAGTAAAATGGATGAATGATTAAATTAGCATACATACAAAGAAAAATCAAATAATAGTGGTGACATTCAGGGTCATTTATTTTACGCTCCGAAATGTCGCCAATGGTGACATCATCGGTGAAGCAGATCTCTTCTATTCACGTTTGGTCGCTGATGGTAAAGTAAATTTAAAGGTTTGAAAATTATTTTTAATATTTCCAACAACAACAAAAAAAAAAAAAGAATGTATATACTTCTTTTTAACAACGCTAAGCTAAAAGATTTTATCAATGAATTATTTCTAGCTAATAATACAAATATATTATTTACGCCAAAAATATCACGTGTTCAGTGATTTTAGTGTGATTTACGTAACGATGTTAAGCAATAAATGATAAAATTTTAAAAATAAACAAATTGAAATATTGATAGAAAGATTTTATGAAAATAACTGAGTTAATGATAAGAGGAGAAGAGTGAAAAAAAAAAAATCATTAATTTTATCATTTTCAGTGATTGTTTTGTGATTTATTCATTTCCCATCTAACTCATAATGTTTCTTTCCTAAATTATAATGAAATTTTTTTTGCAAAAATATATGATTTTTATGCTGAAATTTTCAGTTGAAATATTTCCATTATTGAATTCAGTTTGTTCATTGCATATATAAATTTATTCTATGACAAATTCTTTGGTGCATTATAGTTACGATCGCATGATATTAGCACAAACATATTATTTGGTGTATCGAAGCGCTCATTTCATCCTGTTGGAGTTTTACATGTTAACTTTTACATGGACAATAGCGCCATGAGTTGTCCTTCACGTAGTAGCGCTGAATATCGACATCGATCCTCAATTGAACTGTCATCGTCATTGAGTTCCACTGAAGATCGTTGTCAACATTTTGTCAAGAATAGTGATGAAGAAGAGATGAGATTTTCTCCTTCCTTTGGTAACGTTATGCTAGCTAGTGGGTATGTAAACCTTTCAATGTTTAAATTCAAATTTCAAAAAATTTCTTCTTTTTAGATTTTACCATTATGGTTGAATGAATTTTTAAACATTTTCTAATATATCAGTTATTTCGAAGCATATTTCTCCAAAATTTCTTTTTTTTTTCTCTCTCTCTGTCTCTTTCAATTTGTAGAATGATTAATCAGAAACAAAACTAATTTGAATATCTAATTTTTGCTTGAAATTTTAATATAAAAAGCTTTCTAGAAGATTCAGTAAAATTTGTCGAAATTTAATGATGGAATTAATGACTAATTTTCAAGCTCAAATACTTTCATTTTTAGACGAACGCAAGCATATCTTCTATCATTACTGGCACCAACAATTGAGGTACGATTACGACAACCATTCATTCGATCTGTTAATTCTTTAACTGACAATAATCTTTATAAATCTACCTCAAATAATCTTTAAAAAAAAATGTAAGGAAAAAAAAAAAAAAAAAAACAGTGAATTAAAAAGATCTCAAAAATTCTCCGATCAATTCTAATGTAATTAAAGATTGTTAATTGCCAGATTATACGTAAATGAATATTATAAAATAAAATATATTTATAATATAAATAGCAATAATATAAATTACAAGCACTCAATGTAAAGTATGTATATATGTTTCCTTTTTTTATAATATGAATAGCAAATATATTAAAGTATATTTGTTCATTTTAAGTTTTTTTTTTTTCTCAATTTACATATGGATTGTACCTTGTTAGATGCTATTTTGCATTAAATATCTTCTCTTGTTATTTGTTCAAATATATTTTAACATTTAGTAATAGTACAGATGAGTAATCCATAATAATATTGAATGTCCATCAAATAGTTTTATGCTTCATCTATTGCTCATTTATCACTTTTTTTTTTTCTTTTTTTTTGTGAATTAACATTCCAATATTGAAGTACAGAAACATCAAATTTGGCTTTGTTTTTATTCTACTAATAAATTTTGTATTTGAAATTAGAATACATCATTTATTCTTCGATCTTCAGCAGTGATCAATGATAATAGCCAATAAATCTGGAAAGCTAACGGCTATGGCATCTATTGAGATTTCACAAATCAAATTGATTCAATAATTCCTTGAAAGCATTCCATGTAGCATTAAAATGTAATTTGATAGGTGATAGTTTTGCATAGAATTTTAAAATTCAGAATTCTTGTAAGATTTATGATATAATAATACATAAAAAGGATTTATTCATGAAATTCATTTAATTTCTCAAGCAGAAATCCTCACAAAAGATATAGAAAAGTTAACTTTGTATTCTATTTCTGAATGACAACTTGCAAAAAATGAAGCAATCCGAGTTGTTTGAAAGAAAACTAATCGATTTCTAAGAATAAATTAATAATTTCCATATTTTATCTTTAACCTTCGAAATAATGTATAAAATTGAAAACAATAAAAATCATGAAATTTGAAAACTTGAAGTTAAGAAAGCACATGATGTATGGTCTGCCAATTTTTCGGTTGGAAAAAATTTTTTATACTTTGACATGGAGAAACTAAGCTATCAAATAAAATTAAAAAAAAAAAAAAAAGACTTACTACCGATGCTAAACATATGCGATCTTAGATATTAGCACATGTATTACTTATGTTTTATTGAATAACTTAATCTATTAGAAATACTTCTGGAACGTTTCAATACAGTCAAAAACAAATTCTGTTGTTTTACGTTTTCAAATAAACATTATGTTCAACGGTGAATGTTTAACAGTTGTTTGATTAGAGTTACCATTTTGCAAGGAAACAGAAAAACGACAGAGAAAACAACTGATATTGATTTATAGGATTATTTATGTCTTACTAAACCACCGCAATCTGAATCATTTGAAATTTTTTCTTTTCTTTTTCAAAGTATACTTGAATGATATGATAGTGTCACTAGAGATTAGTCTTTTAATGAACAAGAATTCAATAAAAAATTTGCAAAACGAATGATTATGAAACGATTTCGACATTGTATAACACTCAGCAACTTTGATGACAGGGTTTTGCACATTCCTGAATCATCAAATTCCCGTAGATATCTGAAATGCTTACGCACAAAATTAGATTTTGATCAAGCTGAAATTTTGGCGACATTTTTTTATCATAAAAAATAGATTATAAAAGATCTATGAGTTTTTCTGACGAGTTTTTAACATGTTTGGGGTTTAAATAATTCATTAAAAGTGCAGAAATATTTACCGGAAGTGACATTTTCCGAACATGGACCACATATTTTCGGACACTGCTTTGTCATCAGTTCACAATACAAAGAATTATTGCATAGGTGAGCAAGTTGTGGGCACGAAGATGGTTGATTGTGTGTTACGAGATCCACACATGTGCATAAAAATGCCACTGTGACGAACTAAAAAGCTTAGAAGCAATCACTGAGCTTTTTATTCTTATATATTTGAAGCAAAATAATTGGTAATGAAACAATGGAATTGATAGCTTAGTATAGTATTGTATATAAATATAAAAAGAATTGGGTAAATTATCATTCCGAATAGTTTATTCCATTTCTTAAACATACATGTGAGAATTTAGTAGCACAGAAAGTTGTCTTGGAATGCAACTGTTAGCAAAGATTTGGGCACATTCTGATGTGTTCAATAATATTCGAGACTAATTGCAACGTTATACTCGTTGAATATGGATTATAGGTGAATTTAATGATTCTGCAGTTATATAACTCACTTTGTCTATCTGTGACAGAAATTAAAAGAAGACATACGATGAAAAGCATCCAAACCATAGCTAATTGGCGATGTATCCAAAAGTTTGTTGACAATAATAAAGCTTATATGCTTCATCATCTTGCAATTATTTATGGACAGCTATTCATATTATGCTTCCATATTTTGATATAATCCGCTGTTTCTGGTGTAATGGAATGAAATTTCTGCTTTATCGTTGCTCAGATTACATTTTCGTCGCTTATACTCCTTTGCTAATTTTAATTCTCCATTCTAAAAACCAAAAAAAAAAAAAAGGATTAGAACAGAACCAGCATACTTTTAACATTTTAAATAGTTAACACTTTTTCCAAAAGCAAATTATAAAGCTTTTCCAAATGCAAAGAGAAGATTTTAGTTGTAGAAAATATTAATAACTGAGAAATATCTCTGTTAATAATATGCTTGCACGTTGCAAATTCCGGAAGTCTTAGTGCTTTTTGTGAAATTTGAAAACATAAAAAAAAAAAAAAACAAAAAATATTCTTTAGAAAGTCCTAGTAATCACTCAGGCATATGAAAAAACTGATCAAATAGATATTATCGACTTGATCACAGTTCAGAGAATATTGATCCGATGTAGTTCAAAGGACAGTGATCCACTGGACTGACAAGATTGGATATATGCCACAGTAAACGCTTAAGATAGCTTGTTGCTACACAATTCGAAAATTTTGTGTTTTCAAAACCTAATGTTGAAACGTTAAATTTGAAGATTTAAACCTTAGTAAATGTTAGAGATAACACCGGCGCTGAACTAGTTGTACAATAGTCCCTTACAATTACTGTTTTTACAATTGTTTTTTTGTTGACTCATTGACTGAAGACTTGTTCATATTAGACTAAAGCCGCCCAAAGATTCAGGCCAAGTAGACTAAAAACGGTATTTCTTAAAAATTCTTTTATATTTTAACGGCAGTTTCCAATTGTATTAGTATTAGTTTCTCTGCTAATATGCCCTAATACAATCAAAATAATGTAAAGAAAAGATTACTGAAGCTGAAATGAAACAAATGTGTCTGTTGTTTTGAGATGATAGCACGTATATTTCTTATTTCTCATTTAAAGCTATCAGTGATGAAAGTTGCATTGTTGCAAGTTATCATTCCAACTTGTCAAACATTTGATCCCAAGTTTTAGCCTAGATAAGAGTTCCAAGCTGTAGCCTAGACATGATATAAGGCCACCAGAATTCCAATTCACCACAAAGACGTTACGTCTTCTCACCCAAGAACAAAATTTGTGTAGCCATAAAATACGGAAAGAATTGGCTCGGCCCTGTTTTTATATTGATTGAGTTTGTTTGGGAATGGTTTGCATTTGTGTGGATTTGTCGCATTGTTGAGAAGACTGGTCGAGACTGGTCAATACTGACCATTCCTTGGTCCAGATTATACGTATCCTGAGTAATTACTTAAGACGACTCAAGCATACTTGTACTCTTTCATTTATAATTACAAATTTGCGTTCTGCGAAAATTACGAAAAATTTACACTTGAAAATAAACCGACATACGTATCCTGAAGTGATTGTCGTAAAACGCCTTTCAGAGTAGTGGTGAAGTGATTCGTTACTTGAACAGTTTCAACTTAGAAATGGGATTCGATGGGTAAGTTGCGTGGTCGTTCGTATTTCGGTATGTTGAATTGGTAGTTCCGAAATAAGTAGTGTGTATTTGAGAATAATGTTCGAGGTGAGCAAAAGGGTTTAATCTGACATCTTATTTTTGATGTTTATTCTCTTTTTACAGGTTTTATTTTAAGCATAGCTGTGTGAAGAAGTGAAGGAAGTGAAAGTTTTTAATTTATTATACATATGCTTCCTTCTTAGTTTCAGATCATTAAGACCAAAACAACCTCGACCTTATACACAACCTCCGCCGTCAACAGTAGGAACTGCATCAAACGGAAATCAAGCGTATAATCGTGGAGTCGGAACACCGACCCATCGAGTAGTATCCTCTATGTCAGGATTCGCTGGAGTGAGTAGAACTTACTTGAACAGCAGTTCGTATATGGCTGCTGGGAATACGGCGATGAATCAAATGGTATTAGAAATAATTAATTGTTTATTCGTATATCTCTATGCTTTCGAACTGATATCTCAGATAATCACTGATATTTTATTGCCATTGTGAGGCCATCGTGATGCATCCTTACTAATGCATATGAGGTTTTGTCATTAATAACATGATTTTAGTTTAAAGTAGAGGAATTATAAGTTCATAATATTAATTGAAAATTCTCAGACGACTGCTTCTGCACAAGGAACAGATTCTGTTCAGCAACTCTCAATTCCACCACCACCACCACCAAGTCGTCCACTGTCAGCTCATGATATGACAGCACCTGAAGAGCCATCGAAAAAAATGGAACTTGAAATTATCGAGGAAGTGGTTAAGAAAGAACCAGGTTTAGCAGAGCGTGTTACTTCCCTTAAAATCAATGGCATCGGTTTTGATGTTGATTTTGTGGTTGGATCTGCATTAAATACTGCAGTAAGTAATATATTAGATTTTTGTTTTAATGTACTGGCTATAATGAACTTAATTATATCCATTTAATTTTGCTTCACAAACATGTATGCATATTCATTTGCAACATTCTTAATGACTTATTTATCATGACATAATGACTTATGATGCTATGATGGACTTTATATTCATTTAATTTTGCTTCACAAAAAAAACGTGCATATTCATTTGTAACATTCTTTAAAATTAGTGGATTTTTGAACTTTCACCAATTCTGCCGAAGATGTGTATTGCAAGGAATCAATAAACAGTTCTTTAACTGAGGCTGTTATCTCTCTAAGGAATATCAAAATCGAAATTTGTTATGAATGAAATCCCTTTTTTTTTTATTCTTCAAGACATCTTCTTTAAGTTTATTATTCCGAAGAATTTTTGAATGATCCTAAATATCTTTTCCAACATTACTTGCCAACGATTTTTTAAAAACTCATTGCAGGTAAGCCAAACAAAACTCATTTTTGACGAAAAATAAACTCAGAGCGATCTAATATTTTTGATGAATTGTAATTTTGAAACTTTATCATTTTAATGCTAATTTACCAGTTCGAAAACATTTTTTGACTGTCTTTCTATTTACTGCCATGGATTTTTTCCGTTTTTGTTGTTCTTTGTGATATTTACTTCATTGCAGCATTTCGAAGCACATCGTGTTGTGATGGCTGCAGGGTCAAAAGTGCTTGAGAGAATGCTTTTCGGTGAAGACGAATCTTCATCACCACTGATTAAGAAACGGAAGGGACGTAAGTATAAATTGAATGATTTTAGCAGTATTCCTTAATTGACATTCATACATTCTCGTATATATGCGCAGACCTTAATGCTAAAAATAAAAACTAAAATTCTTTTTGATTTTTTTGATTGGCTTGTACGATTTTTGTAAGTATGGCTAGTCAAGAGCTGCGATATCGTGCTACATTTTATTTAGTAATGTTCATGGTCAATTTCTGATGTGAAAATAGTGCACAACCATTAATTTCATAGTTAAATCTTCTTGACTTTATATTTTTAATTTTTTTTTTTTTTATAGCAGACTTGAATTGTCCAATAGTTACAATACACTTCTCTGATGTTGATCCAGTTGCTTTCCAAACAATTATTGATTATGTTTATTCGGATTTCAACGAAGCAGCGATTGAAATTGCAGAATCAGCTGTACTTAATACACTATATGCCGGTAGTTTTTTGTAAAGACTTTTATTTAAAATTTTAACCCTTTGCTACAGTGTATTTTTTCATTTACTGATTTTACTGGATGATTTGAAATTAAGATGTCATATTACAGCAAAAAAATTCGAAATAGCAGCATTAGAAAAACATTGCGTTGAACTGCTTGGTGAATTGACGCCGTCATTAGCAGTCGCACTTTTGGAACAGGCAGTTAACTTTGGTTCAGAAGAATTGCTGCATCGATGTCATCAGGTTATCGATGAACAAAGTGATGAAGCACTTTCATCAGATTGTAAGTCTTTGGAAATACTTTATAAATCTTTTACAGGAATGCTATTGTAGTTATAGTGATTTTAAATTATTGTAACTCCTTAAGATGTTGCTTGAATTAAGGTTATTGAAATTTATAACATTTAAGTTTTCAGTTAGAATCAAAATGTTTAAACTGTGACCTCTTAAATTTAATTCTGAGTATCAGAATCGAAAAGCAATTTTTTCGCACAATTTTTGAAAAATTGGTACTGCTCGCATTTATTTTTCCCCTTTCTACTATTATTACTCATGTCTTTTTAGAGAATAACAGTTCGCATTTTCAGCACTTACTAATGTCAGTATTGAGACCCTAAAAAAATTGGTTAGACGTTCAGAGCTTTCACCATCAGGAGAATTGTCAGTTTTCAAAGCAATGTGCAATTGGGCTGTAGCGGTACATCTTAATTTTTGACTTTATTTTCAGCAGTGTTTATTATGGATGAATAATTTAGGCGTTACCGTTTCGAAGTTTTGAAAGCTAATTTTATTGGTTTCAGGAATGTAAGCGTCGTGGGATTGAAGAAACTGCGGAAAATAAACGCCTCGTTGTTGCCGATGTTCTCAATGATGTGCGATTCCCAACAATGACGGTTGAGGAGTTGGGTGAAGTAGGTGAGAAAATAAGAATTATTGAAACTCAATTAGTGAATTACATTTCAGCTGAAAATTTCAGTTTTGTCATGAAACATATAATTCAATTAAAATTTTTGTTCTTTTTAGCAAATTCTGGCATCTTGAATGATTTGGAAATTGGTGTTCTCTTCCGTTACGTGACATCAACTGTTCATGTGGGCATCGATTTGCCTTATCCCACACATGGTAAGTGAAATTGCGAATGAAATACTAGCTGAATGGTAGAGATATCTTTTTTTTTAATTTTTAGAGCGAAGGATTTTGAGTCGATCGCGGTATGTAGTGCGACGTTTCATGAATCTTAGTAAGAATACATGCAAAAAGCAACGCAGTACAATTTGGTACGTTTTCTAAATTGTTCGACAGATAAAGTTTCGTTTTGAGTAGAATATCGTTTTTGAGCAAATATCTTGATATTAGAACTCACAGGCTGAAGTAATGAATATTTGTAAATTATTCCTAAACATGATTAAAAGAGATTCTTCTTGTCCTTAGCTTTTCTGATTAACATATGTACATCCGATGTATTTCATCCCACTCAACTCAATTTTCTGTTCCATGTCCTATTCAACTTTGAGTATTGTTCTTGTATTGCTATTGTATTGTTCCTTTTTTTCTTCTGTCTGTCTTAGCTATTTTTCTACAGTATAATATTGCGGGATGTATGCTACAGGTTCGAAGGAAAATCTTCAATTTTAGAATTATGTGATCATTGCGCATGGGTTATTGCCTACAGTGACTGAAAGTGGAGTGTAAAAAATTGCTCGCATTTTGAATGAATCTGGAAATATTGTTTCTTGAGAAAGGGATGCAGAAAATATTTATAATAATTATACTACCACAAATAATAACAATAATAATGATGACGATAATAATAAAAGTAATGATAATGATAATAATAATGATAATAATAATAACAATAATAATAATAATATTATTATTATTAATAATAGCTATAATTATTATTATTATATATATGTTTTATAAAAAATTCAAGGTTCATTGTGAATCGCGAAATACTGGTGACAGCGCTTGGCATCTATGGCTTAGTACAGAATGAAACGAATGCTGAGGGCAGCGAATGGGAAACGACCGTTGATGTTGAGGTTTATATATGTATACATATATATAATATTCCAATCAATAATTTATTTTATTATTATACTTATTAATGATAATTCTTATCAAAATTTTCATTAAAATTTCTCGAATTGTAGAGCGTCTTTTGATCAGTAACGCATTTGCGCTTACTATTGTTACCATTGCCGCTTTAGGGTTCTGGATTTAAACAAATCTTCTGAATGATATCTGTTTTACTTTGTAATGGTATCGGCGAAAGAGAGTGTGTGCATTCTTGTCTCCAAAAAACAGAGTTCATCAACTATATGAAATGCTTTCAATAATTGAATACTGGAGATTTCTAAGCAAATTATTTGCGCGATATCGTCATACATTTAGAAATGTACCGATATTTTAATGACAATCGCTGTATTCAATTTTATGTTATGTAAAAAAAATTGCTATCAGTGGATGTAGGAATACTTTCTCAAATTTCTGAAAAAGGTACTTTGAAAATAAGCTAAGTGGAGCAATTATTTCTGCAGAAATCATATTTGTGATCTTGTTTCTATCCTGATTATCATGGGGTCATATTGTCAGTCATTACAGAAGAACTAAATACGTTAAAACTATAAGAAATAGTGAAAACATATCATTTTGATAAGTCGCTTTGGGTCAAATTTTACTCTTTCATTTTTTTTTTTTTTTTTCTAGAAGTTTATGCCTGGTTCATTAGATAGGCAGTTTTTTTTTTTGGGATTCAAAACTTCCTTCATTTTCCTTAGAAATGTGAATATTTTGGTAGGTGGCATCTTCTGGTCAGGCAAAGGCAACTGATTTTACATCTGCAACGCTGAAAGGTACATATGGTGATGGACGCGCATTCATTGCACATTTTAAAAAACCCGCACGAATTATTGCAAATATGCCGTACAGAGCAACGGTCACGTTCAAGGTTTGGCTGTTTAATTTTTCATTTGTTCAAGTTGTAGAAATCAAAATTAGCGCTTGAATAATATCTTGACTTATTTGAGATATTTTTGTTTTGATTTTGTTAAATTTGCAATCATTATGCCAATATAAAAGTAGTTTGTTTCTAGGAAGAAGTCGAAACATTTGCTGGAGGAAATGGTCAAGAAGATATTCTCGTTTATGTTGGATCGGGGGGTGCAATTGAGCAAAACTGTAGCGGTACCACTCCTTCAGTTGATCAGTCTTCCGTGGCAGCTTTCGCCTTTCATAACGATGATCCAAATGGTATTCGTCGAGGTATGACACGTGGTCCTGCTGTGTACACCGATGCTATCGGTATGATCCATTGTTTCGATAGATTTGTATTTATCCCTCATATTTTGAACCTTTTATATTTAGAAATTTTGTTTTCTTTAATAAAATCAACACTTGGCAAGCTTACTTTTCAGGAGGTTTCTACAATCGACCTACCAATAACGTTGCACCAATCTATTCTGAAGGTTGTCTTTACGAAGGACAAATTCCAGAAATTCATTTTATGGCACCAATGGAAGTGAAAAAAGAGCTTTCAGATGTGTGAAGATTTGAAATTGAAATGTTTTTTTATTGTTCATGTTTCAAATAACATTTGTTTTGAATGCATCTTGGGGTAGTGACGGACACTTTCTTAGAACAAGAGATCTCAAGTTACCATGCTTGTTTTCCTGCTAATAAAACTTCCCTTTCCTTAAACGACAAAGATTTTGTTTCTCATGTTACATGTCATTTAAATGAATATCATCTAAATAAACTTCCATGTTCGGTTTGTTCCATCATTCTGGACCGTTTTGTTATTTATCTTTTACTGTCTTTTTTTACCCATGAATAATTGTTAAGTATTTTTTAAGAAGCTTATTATTCTCTGCAGTGACTTACTGAACATGTTTCTGTTTTTTCATTGCTGAGCTTTTCATTTTCTATTATATTTTCTTGATTACTGAATCATAATTTTATTAAACTCTGATCGAAGAATAAATTTTTGGTGGTTATCCATGCAAAGTCTAATAAGAGGTTGATTAAGTTACATCATTTTGTTTGCTTATTATTATAAATAAGGCTAATTAATAAATACAGCAGCTAAATTATTTACACTGTTAAACATAATTTTACTGGAATTTTACTATTTTTGTGAAGCTAAATTGAAGTTACAGATATGGTGCTCTTCAAATTTCAAAAAATGATAAATTTCTACTCTTCGTCTAAGCGAGTAATATACGTTGTGTTATTATACAGCATTTAGCCTATTAACCGTAAATAGTACCTATTTTGTCATATTTCTTACATAATCAACATGCCCAGTTAGACTTACTAAGAAATGTTGAATTGATGGAGTTATGAGTGATTTTTGAGGTATGGAACTATTATTCTCTCCTTGTACTTTGTACACTACTTGACGATAAAATAATAGGAATCACTGAGTGATACAATGACTGATGATATGTCACACTTTTCTTGTTTGTGAAATTTTAGTAGTAATTTGAACAGCAGCAATCCAATATCGAATGATAATATGAAAATGATTTCAATAATGTGATGCAATTTTGATTTTTGATTAAAGGAAGCATATATATGGTTGCGATTAACGCTGTGCTTGCGACTTATGTTGCGATTAGCGCTGTGCTTGCGATTAATATTGCGATTAGTGCTGTGCATGTATCGCTGTTGTGTTAAAGGAAATGAGGAGAAAATTCACAAAAGAGATGTGAAACAAAGATTACAAACAAAGGAATTTTTGTTTTCTCCTCTGCAATATTTTAGTCTCTCCCACTACAAAGGTTATCTAATCCAGTAATCGAATTTCAGATTGTAGGGAATTGAATATTTATCCAATTTTAATTCATATCATAAACTTTCATATAAGAGGAAATGCTTTTTCATGATTATTTGTAGCCTTGGAAAGTAATCCTTAAATAATGTCCCAAAGTTTGACCAAAAAAAAAAGATGTCTTCTGATGGCAAATTATATCAAGGAAGTTTAAAATTGTAGAATTATTTATGTTCTCTTTGAAGAATGCATTATCAAAAGTTGAAATAAAAAAAAAAAATTAACAGCAATAACCACAGTATGTAATCCATATTCATTTGGAAGTAATAAATGCAAAATCTTCCTCTTCTAAAGTTTTGACTCTTTTGAACTGTTCACTCTCGAAAAGTCTGAAAATAAATCTTTTGAAACATTGATTAGTTCTAAGAATTGACTGTTAAAATAGACTGTTCATATTATCATGATTATTAGCGCAATTAGCCAAGACTTTTACTATTATTACTGGAATTTAATAGACTTGAATAATTATATTGGAATTTAAAGATAAAGAAGCAAATGCAATAAACCAATCATTTAAACTTTATGTAAAATAGTAAAGGATAAAGAATTTCACCTTTTAAAACGTCTCATTTCCAGTAGTGATTCTTTGCAATCATCTCTTCCGGCACAACAAAAAATTTTAACTGCTTCAGCTGCATGTAAAAATTCAACTGGTACTGCCAAATTATACAATGATTTAATCAAACAAACCTAGAAATAACAATTGAAATAGTTTTTTTTTTGAAAGTTCAACAACAACTAATCATTCATAATCATACTTCAATATCACTGATTGAATACAGGAAATAATCAAACATTAGCAAGTTTGTGACGTTCAAACTTCCTTGTCAATGATAGAGCACATCCACCTTCCACCTTTCCATTCTTCATATCAGCAAGGTAATAACAAATCACCAAATGACTACCTGCCAAAAGGCAGAGGTCACGTCCACCGTCAGGTAACAAGCAGTGCTCTCGTGTCTGTAAAAATAACGTTCCGTGATACGTGAAAAAAAAAAAAAAAATCTCGTAGAAATAATGATGAATTGTTTACTAATTAATAATGATTTATTATGAGAACAAAAAAAAAAAAAATGAATGATAGGAATGTGTCATTTAAAAAGCACAATTCAATATGTTATTCAAAGTTGACCTGAAGAGCTTTTTTAGTATAATTTACGGTCGTTCGAGAAATATAATATTTCTCGCTTATATAATTACATGGCTTATCAATAGTCGAGGAGCAGCAACAAAATGCTGATAATTCACCTTCAAATATATATATTTAATAATATTATTATTAATGATAAAATTTTCAATGTAATATACAATAAAGTAAATAATAACTAAAATTTTCATTTATTCAATAACTAATTCTAGTTAATACTTAATTCATTATATTCGTTTTTTTTTTTTTTTTTTTTAATTCTTAAGTATTACTTATTAGCACGTTGTTTCTTATCAGATGAGATAAAAGATAACCATTATTTTGTTTCATCATGAAACAATGTGCAAACATTTTATCATCTGAGTATCGAACATTGGCCTTCAATCGATGTGAACATATTTTGCCAGGTGGAAGTTCCTTATCTTCTAGCATAAAACCACGTCTGCTTACAAAATCTATAACAAATATTTCAAGAAAAAAATTATTTTATTTAAATCAAAATCATATAAGTTTCGAAAAAAAAAATTTGCAGTGAAATTATTTAGAGAAATCATTTAAAAAGTTTATGCTCTTATAAAATTTCAAATAAATGTGCCCGATTTCTTAGATAATTTAGTTTATTTCAAAAAAAAAAAAAATTTTTTTTTAAATTAACCTAGGCCTCGGCCAAATGATTCTTCATAGCACCAAGTAGTTTGTAATGATCGATTTGTTGTCACATATTGTTCAGCAAATTCTTTTAAATAACACAATCTACCATACTGAATAGTTGTTATGATTTAATATAACTGATAATTGATAAGATGGAATATTTCTGATATTTTAAAAGCATTCCCAATTTTAATTAATAAATCAAATTTCTCTATGTATAGAAATAATAAAAAAATATTCAAGTATTATTTTGTTCTTCTAAAAAGTTTTTGCAATTTTTTTATTATATCTAAGAAATAGAATGTACTACTAAATTTTATAATATCTAATATTTAAATAAGTTATTACATTTTTTTTTTTATGAATGAAATTCTATGCATTCTAATATTGTGATATGATTTAAATGCATTTTATGCTTAATTAATTTCAATTACAATGTAATCATTATAATACTAAATATTAGCTAACAATTTCATTAATTGATTTAGTTAAAGATAAAAATCAATAAATTATATTAAATGAACTTTGTTTCGATAATATTCCAAGTAATGAGTTCGATGTTTTTTAATTTTTTCAACTAAATTAGCATCACATTTCGGTTCAGCGCTTGAATTACATTTTATTACTCCAACTGTCCAAGCTTTTGAACTTTTTGTGATGCGATCAATTTGTTCTACACTTGCATTAACTTCTGTACAACATTTTGTCCATGCTGTAATCACCAACCTTTTATCATACTTTGATATGATAACGATCGCGTTATCAATTCATACTTTCTATCTTCTATCTATTCTAGTTCCATACAAACTATATCAAATGAGAACTTGAAAATCTAATAACTTAAACTAAATTTAATTGTCATAAATTTAAAAAAGAAAAAGATAATGTTAAATGAAAAATATTATAAACAAAATTATTGTGTATTTTTTTTCTCTCCATTTAATTCCATTAATTTGTTGATTGAATTGAGTATTAGTACCATTTGTTCAGTTGTTAGAATTAATTCAAAATTTATTAAATTCATTGTTTCACTCTTCTTAACTCTCTCTCTCTCTCTCTCTTTTACAATTAGTCTAATTTAAATATTTTTTATTTTCTCAAATTATAACCAAATTGAATTTGTTATTTTAACTGTTTTTTTTTTTCCTTCTAAACAATAAAATAAATTGGTTCTTACTTACTAGCAACACAAACTTTTTGAAAAAAAAAAGTCATATTAAATAATCTTTCACAATCATTTGAAAAATAAATATTTAAGCAAATGTTTAATAAAATTAATTAATATTTAGCTTAAGTAATTTTTAATTTTCAGGGAGAAATAAATATGAAATCATACAGTTTTCGAGATTTTTGTATTGAAAGATATCGGCTAAAATGAATTCCTGATTGCTACCATAAATTTCTTTCGCTGAAGTTTCAAATTCCATATTATAACCTTAAATAAGAAATAATTATAATTAGCTATTATCTTATCTTACAGTCTAGAGTAGATTTTTGTTTGAACTTTGAACCTTTAATTAATGCTTAATTTATTCATTTTTTTTTTCTTTTATTTAGCATTTTATAGCTTAAAAAGCTCATCGCTATTGATAGTACTAGTACTAGTAGGTATATTTAAATAATTTCTCAATTAATTTTATATTTCATTTCATTAATAATTATGAGACAATTAATTGTACTAACCGTAAATAAGATTTAAAGGTTTCATTAGCCTGAAATCATAGTATACGATGCAATGATTAGCATAAATGTTAGCAAAAAAGATGTGTTGTAGTACATGTCGATGGGCACATTTTGGAAGTTTATAACTGTTGCCATTATTGGTGAGAATACTTTGACCAAATTCCTTAATTTCATTTATAAATTTTTGAAATTTAAGAATTAAATTTGCTTATTTAATAAGAAATAAAAATAAAAATGAGAAATTTCATAGGAAAATTTTGCTTACAGTTTTCATATTGCACATACTGTCTTTTCTGTTATCACAGCAGCATAACACCTAGAATAATATTTATACAATCACAAATGTTAGTGTTAAAAGTTTAGAAATAAAATTTAATTTTAATTTTAACTTTTATCAAAAATGTAAAAACGATCAGAAACAATTTTCAATTAGTTCTATTTAGATTCCCATAGTCATTTATCATTAGCATTAATACATCTAAGCAATAGCAATTTAATAATTTTAAATAATCGAAAAACTTCACATAATAACTTAAATTAATCAACTAATTAGTTTTAACTTAACAACCAAAAAAAATTGGTAATTTTAAATAATCAGAAAATATAAGAAATGTTTATATTAATGCTTAATACATGTGTCACAGTTATCCGAAAACCTTCAGAAATAAATTGAACTAAGATGAACTGTTGCGCCTCTGCTTAAATCAGTTATCAAAGATAAAAACAAAAAGCGCAATTGATACCGTCAACGTCTGAAATGATTCAATTGGAAAAGGTTCCAGTAAAGGACACATTTTCGGACAACTTTCAATTGCCGAACATTGCGTGGCATGACTCATCGAGGTATACTGGTAGCACCGGTGGGTGTCATTTTCGGTTTTTGTTGGTACACCGTATGAAGTGCTAACCAAATGTACTGTTTCCTCATTTGTTACCTTTAGATGAAACGATGCAAAACAGCTCTAAAATAAAAAAGAAAAATGAAATGAGCTAAATGTTATAGGAAATTTAATTACTAAATGTTATAGGAAATTTAATCACTAAATGTTATAGAAAATTTAATCACTAAATGTTATAGAAAATTTAATCACTAAATGTTATAGAAAATTTAATCACTAAATGTTATAGAAAATTTAATCACTAAATGTTATAGAAAATTTAATCACTGATTATCTAAGAGTGATCAATACTCATAGATTTTAGTTTGATCAATTATGAAAGATAACATTTAATAAAGAGAAACGTGAGCATTTTAAAAGTAATAAATTGTTTGGTACTAACTGATATGACAGTATTTTATTGTTGTTCAGAAAGTAATCAAGGAGGGAAAGAAGAAGAGCAGGGTAAAAGGAAGGGCAGGGTAAGAGGGAGGCTAGGGTAAGAGGGAGGGGGTATATTAACTTACTCTTGCATAAACGAATCACAAATATGAAATATCAATGATTTAGATTATCTGACTAAAGAAGTAATATTTTCTCTATCAATAAAACTACAAAAAAAAAAAAGATAAAATTTTCTTGATTATTCCTCTTTTGCTAAATTAATTATTAAATTGACCATAAGCATCAAATATATCTCATAATCTTCAAATTTTTTATTAATTTGAAAATGAAAGAAAAAAAAAGAAACTTACACTTGCAAGAGGTAAAGATTGAAGTGTGGTATTGATAATTTTCTCTTCGCCATTTATTGCCTCTTCAGTTCTATTGGCGCAAATGTGCATTTCGCCATCTAATGGTATCGTACAGTTATGCCGAAAGCGCCAATAACAGCAACAATGTATCTCGTAGTGACGATTTTTATATCGAATGACACAATGTCCATCAGGTATAAATTCAGTCTGAATGAAATGTTTGAATGATGCTAATTAATTAGTTGATAAAATTAAGCAAATATAAATGATCACTGAATGTTGAATGATTAAGTAATATCATTTTAGATGATTTTTTTTTTTTTTTTTCATTTGTTAATTTAATTTCAAAGAAGCTATAAAAAAAGAGAGAAAAGATGAGATTTGTTAAAATGAAATGTTAAGGATATTTTTAATTATAAAAATGCTTATTCTCCTATTAAAACACATCCAAATACTTTCTAACAAGCTAAGTTTCGTAATTTGATTGAGTTAATTTGACTTAGATAAAAAATCCTAATTCAGATAAGATAGCAACAATTATTAAAAAATTAACTTATTAAATATTGATATGAAATTGTGATAAGTAATTCTTATCAATACCTTCAAGATTTATATGTCATGAAAAAGTGCTCTCGGATTATTTATTAACAAGAAAGTTTTTAAAATAGAAATAAAAATTGTCAGGGAAGAATATTAGTTATTAAGTTGTTGCACTTCAGAAAAACGATAATTGCTAAATCAAACGAGAAATAATAGAAAGCATAAAAATAGAGAAATTATTTTAAGACTTATTGTTAATGATTGAAAAATGATTTTTTAATTTTAAGATCTTTGTTAATGATGATTAATGATTCTTTGAAAAATACACAAAGAAATTTTCTAAATTACTGGAATTTTTATTTATGAGAAACCTCGGAATGAATTGGATTAAATTTCGAACCATACTGATACGGATTACATATCATTTTATACTTACCAAATACCTACAACAAATATTTAAGCATAATAAAAATTAATCTATTTATCATTCTTAATGTCTTTCTTAATGATCAAATTTTTAAGATAATATTAAAGATTAATAATACTTTGAGATTATTCAATCAAAATTATAATTTTTATTAATTTGTTCGTTTTTTTTTTTTGCTTGATATATTAATGAGTACTAATTAAATATTAATTAGAATATTGTTTGTCTATCTTTAAATCTTCAAATTCCAAAATCTAAAGCTTCTCTTTTTCACTTATAAATTATAAAAGCTAATTAATTTCTTTTTGAAAAATAAAATGAAGCAAAAAAAAAAAAGAAAAAAAATTCGATACATAATTACGATTAATTTGATCCAAGAATGCATAGATAGCAAATCCACTATAAATTTGTGTTGTTGAATAACTATCTAAGTGAAACATGCATGGAGCATAGAATGGATAACTTATCACCTAAATTTGATAACAATAATTTATGTTATCATTTTTATCAATTGAAAATATTCTTACAAAAATTAAACAAATTAGTAAAATTAAGAAAACTTTTTTTTTTCATATCTTATTTCAATTTTTTATCGCAAAAATTTAAAAAAAAAAAAGAAGAATTAAATAAATTAATTTTTAAACTTTCAAATTCTTATCTATATCTATTGAATTCTCTTATCATATCTTACTAGAAAAAAGAATTCATTGAAATTTTTAGTTTTATTTTTTATTTATTTATTTTTTTTTATAGTTTAGATAGCATAGAGAGGTGAAACCTGATTAGAGTATAAGCCAGGACATGAAAACCATGTTTGTGGTAAAAAATTCGGATACTCCTCACAAAAACCAAAATCGTTATTTGCTCGAATACATATACCTTTCATCATAAATAAACTTTTCAATGTTAACAATTGCAACTTTTTGTCTAACTAAAAAAAGAAAACAAAAAAACAATACTTTTTATAAATAAATTTGAATTTTATAATATTTCATCTACATCATAAAAAAAAAATAATAATAAATTTATGATAATTTAGCTTTTAAAATGTTAAAATATTGAAAAGAATGAATTAATTTTTTTTTCTTAATTCTAAAAAATTTATAATTTTAAAATTTTGCAATAATTTCATCGAAAATTTAAAATTTTACTAATTAAGAAGTGAAAACAAAAAAAAAAAAAAAAAGAGAAAGATAAGAAAGAAATTATTTTGATTAGTGTAGTTGAAATTAACAAAGAGTTTTGAAAAATTACTTTGTTTTTTTCACGAAGTAACATGCAATTAGTGCAACATATGAAGAATTGACTACGAACCATTTCTAAATCTTCCTTAAAAAAAAAAAAAAAAAAAAAAAAGGAAAAAATAATAATAAAATTAGTTACCCATTGTTTTTTTGGGTAGTTTTTCATCTCTCTCTCTCTCTTTCTCTCTCGCTCTCTTAACCTTTGTGCCATATAATTTGTTTTCAATTAGAAAATTTTAATGTAAAAATTGTCAAACACTTAGGAAGATGAAAGATAAAAATACATGACGAGAAAATGTCGCACTGCAAGATAATTCATCACTCCAAATTGAAGTTGTTCTTTAGATGCGCAATAGTCATCCATTATCATTTTTTGTCCTTCGCTATCTCTTTCAAAGAATTTACTTGTGAAAACTATAAAAATTTTTTGCCGTAATTAACCAATAATTAAAGAGTAATTTTGCAAAAAAAAAAAATTATCTAACAAAAAAAAAAAAAAACAAGCAAAACAAGAAAGTAAGAAAAAAAAAAAAAAAAATCATTTGTGTCACATTAAAGTACTATCATTTACATTTTATATTCGTTATAAATTTCATTTTTTTTTTTTTTTTTTTTAATGAGATAAAATTTTTTATTAATTTATATTGCAAAAAAAAAAAAAAAAAAGAAATCATTTCCTGATGTTTTCATCAAAAATTTTTCGCTCAATAATTTTAAAAAGAATAAAATGACAAAAATTGAAAATGAAATGATAAAATTAAAAACCATAATTAAATTAAAATGCAAAACCTTCTTCGGGTTTGCTAGGCAATATGTTAACAACGCTGCAGTATGATTGCTCTGCTGCTTTTTCATTTTCACCAAAAAAACAAACACTGTCCGATTCTGCACCTTCAAATGATTTCTTTCTGTTTTTTGTCAATCTTTGTTTTATCAGTGATAAAATATCATATCACTGAATTGCTGTTAATAATAATGTATTACACTTGAAATTAACTAATGTATCAATTAAGTGCCATTTCCTATATCATAAAAATGAAATGATGAATGGTATTAAAATTAATTTTTTCATCGATAAATTAATAAGACAAATTCTTAGGTAAAAATTTTTTAAATGGAATAATTTATTAAATTGTAAATGAGTAAGTTAATTATATTTTAAGTATGATAATAACTAACGAATAAAATGAATTAGGAAATAAACAGTTACAATCATCTGCGGTAAGAGCGACATTTCCGCAAAAATGATTAAATTGATTCCTCAAATATAAATTTATTCAATTAATAATTATGTAAATTAAGCATTAATATGCAGATTTGTTGATGTAAATTCCAATTTAAGGAAATGATAATTTGATGGGATCAATTTTTCAAATTTTGTTAATTAAATCTAAGAATTAGATTTAAATTCAATTGCAAAATTTGATCAATTTGATTCAATATAGAGAAGAATTGTTAAGGAGGAAAGATGAAAGAAGAAATTTGAGATGAAAAAAAAAAAAGAATTATAATTTAAATTGTTATTGATTTGGGATCAAATTGAAAGAGGCGCAAATTGTCACTTCTTTTCACTAATAGATGTTTGGCTTTAATACTTACATATAGCATTTATTTAACAATTACACTTTACACAATTAATAAACAATCAAAAAAAGCTATCCTATTGAAAAATTCAAAAAGAAAAAAAAATCAGTTACCTGGGCAAAACTTATATTATCAGAGAGGTAAATGAAATATTAAATATATATATTTATGTGTAAGATAGACGACACAATAAAAATGAAATTTATTCAATTTTATTAAGTTAAAATGAACTGAGATATGATAGAATAAAGAAAGAATGAAATGACAAATTATCTTTCATTAGCATAAAGTCGAATTTCATATAATTAATTAATTTCCAATTGATTAGTTGCAAGAAAATTTGATTAATTTGTCCATTTCTATAAGCTATATGTAAAGAAATTATCAGAATAACTTTAAAATAAAATAATAAGAAAAGTTAAAGTTAATGCATAATTTAGATTTAATGATAATAATTTCCGATGATTATTTCCAGTTAGTCAGTTTATCATTCATTAATTAATAAAAATCAAAAAATGTAAGGCAGCAATTAGATTTGTACACAATTGAATTTGTTCAATTTGAAAAAGTAAATATACCAAAAGATTACATTTGAAGAGAGGTCAAAACTTTGTGTCACATAATTAAAGGTGAATTGTCTTTCTTCAAATTCTTTTAAAATTAAATTGCTGCAGCATTGCATGTAAAATGATTGGATAAGAGTTGTACAAAAGTCTGTAAGGAAGGTAGCTGACCTTTGACATTAGCAATAAGGGCATTAGCGCTAGCTCTGAACTTATTAACTATAAATTTTTTAATTTCAATGCAAATCAATGAAATGCTCTTTGAAACTTTAATTAACTTGTATGTTAGGCATTAATTTGCTTACTGATATGACTCAACAATTTTTAATAATTCAATTAAATATTTTATTAAATGAAGTATGTTTGGTTTCTTGAAATGATCATTCTCAATGAAAATTTATAAAATATTTGTTAAGATTTAAACAATATTTTTTGAACTTTTCGTAGTAAAAAAAAAAAAACAAAAAACAAAAATCATTGTTAGATACAATTATGTACGATTTTCTACTAAAATTTTAAAAAAACAAATTAGTGAAACTTATCGTTTACCTTCTGAATTTCAATAAATTAACTTAAAAATTCATAATAATTAAATTTTTGCATATCTCTAAATTGATTAGTCAATTCTAGTAATACATTAAGGTTGTGCAAAATTAATTTTTGAAGCTTTTCATGCAAATACATTGAAATCTTTTCGCATATTAACTTTCAGCTTCAGTTAAAATTTCTACTTTACAACTAATTACATTTTACATAATTTTTTCTCCTATAATTCATTAATTTTTTTTTTTTAGCTAAATTTCAGAAAAATTATTGAAAGAATAAGTAAATTATAAATATTTGGACAAATTAAAAAATAAATTTTCAATAATAACAATTCTGCTAATATATGATTTCTTTTATTTCAATGTGTTGTTGGAGTAATGAAAGATTTTAATATTTTATGAGAAAATAAAATAAATTTAAGTTCGTTTTAATTAAAATTAAATTTCAAAAAGTTATAAACAAATGAATAGGTAAGATAAAAAAAAAACTTTATAACTCAATTACTATATATATATTTTTCAATATTATAATCCATACTAACCAAATGTCATTTATGTAAAATAACTTTGAACATTTCATTAAAATTTTATGTGACACATCAATTTAAAAATAATTTATTGTAAGAAAAAAAAAAAAAAAAAAGTTTTTATAATTGCATTTATGGACGATACAATGAGTGATAATTTCATAATTCAATTAACATAAAAATTTTAAACAAATTTCTTTTTTTTTTTTTTTGCCTTTCATTGCTTTTTACTAATTTTTAATTAAAATTTTTGAGAATTAAAAATTATTTATAATAATTGCTTAAATATTTAAATTGAGATTAATTTTAAATTAATAATAGCTTTTTTTTTCTCTTTTCTTTTTTGCGTTTTCCATATATCAAATGCAATATTGTAATATTGAAAATATTAAAATATGATTGTTTTTTCTTATTTTACACATTAATGAGATATGATTCATTTTTGAATGATAACATATTGCCAGACATTTGCGCATTTATCCGTCTAATAGATAATATGATTAGATGTCATCGAATTCATGTACGATTATCAATCACTGATAATACAAGTTGCACTTCTTTCACATTTTTCATCGTAATTAATGCTTTTGCAATGAAATTTGACTGTTCAGAGGCGGAAATTATCAGTAGTATTACCTGCAATCATCGTTATCACATTACATACATCCGTTGCATAATGATAAAAAGAAGTTGATGGTGGGTTAAACGGGTAATACTCTTTCTCATTGTCATTGTCGGCGCTTCTGTCTTCATTATTGAATTTCTGGTTTCAGCCAGTATTTGTCGACAACTCATTTGCTCATTTAGTAACTGACAAAATACTTTCTTTTTTATTTTTTCGTTTTTCTTTTTTTTTTTCTATTTTTTCTTTTTGAATTAATTTCGTTGAATTGATCGAGAATTAGTGAGGAAGAAGAAAAACTTTCTATTCATCATTTTATTGATGTCAAATGTCAAATACTGTCACTCTTCTTGAATCTCTATTATTTTAATAATAATAATAAAAAAAAAGGCAATATTTTTTTTTAACTCCTAGAAAATGCAACAATATTGGTACTTTTATTCTAAAATAATAAAAGAAAATGAAATGAAGATGCTTTGGTTTTTTTTTTAAGTTATCATTCCTTATAAAAAGTTTTATTATTGATTATTGTTAGCAAATTTTTAAAACTACAGAAGTGATAATCATTTATCATTGATAATTTTTACGAAATGATTGATCATAATGCGATTTGAGTTTGAAATCATTCTTTGCTTTATTTGCTATTTGAGAGAATTTCTTGGAAATTCACTTTTGAAAGGGAAAATTGATCAGTAGTAATTTTCAGGAAATTTTCCGAATGAAATTTTAAGTCGAAAAAGGTTAAAAGGTTAAACGAGTTAGGTAATCATTCAAACATAAAAGTTGGTTTGCATTTGACAATGG